TTCTATCAATTTAGGTGCTCTTGTATCTAGTATTTTAATTGTGTGGATTCAAGAAAATGCTGGGTGGGGCCTAGGTTTTGGCATCCCTGCATTGTTTATGGGCATTGCTATTGTAAGTTTCTTTTCAGGCACTCCACTATATAGATTTCAGAACCCGGGGGGAAGCCCTCTTACAAGACTTTGCCAAGTTTTGGTTGCATCATTCTGCAAGTGGAATTTGGAAGTCCCTGCGGACAGTATTCTCCTGTATGAAACACCAGACAAAACCTCAGCAATTGAAGGAAGCAGGAAACTAGACCATACCAATGATCTGAAGTAAATCTTTCCCTTGTTCTCCTAGTTTAAACACTTCAATCAATTCTTACCCTTTTTTAATAATCTGTTTTCAGTTTTCTTCTGCCATTTAGAAGCTTATCAATTGATGTACAACTTATACGTATTTATAGGGTGTTTTGGGCATTGCACATAAGTAAGGCCTTTTATGTTTTTGCATTGAACACACATGCTGGTTGTGTAAATGGGATCACCACCATAATTATTCATATACTGATAGTAATGAGATTTTATGATGCTCTTTTGTGAAGTTTTGAGAGTCTTGGGACTAGGTAATAGGTTTAATGAATTACCTTTAAAATTACCGGGTTTACCTCAATTAGTGTATGAAGGCACAATAGGAAGCTTAATATCCATTAGGTGTCCTCATTTATTTTGTCATGGTTCTGTAACGTTATACTGGGATGGTAATTATTGCTTTATTTAATGCAAGTCATTTTAAAAAAAAATATGTTGTTTATTTTTATTTTCTTTCATTTCTTTCAGTCTGGTTATTTAAGGCGTTATGAAAAAAATCATTGTTTCACAAACAAATAACTTAATTTTTGAGCTTGGATTCAAAAAATATTATTTCATGTGAGATGTACATGAAATGCAATCTTAAAGTGGAAGATGGAGGGGTTTCTAGTAATGTGGTCTTTCTATGGTTAGTTTTATGAATTCCTTTCACTGAGTCCTCTCACTAGTTGTTTATTGAGATTGGCTTTATATCCTTATCATCTATGGACTAAGAACAAGCATTGGAAGGCAAATGAAAATTACTGGGAAGATGCAGCAGTGTGATAAAGTATGGTATGATTTGTCAGCACAGCAGTAATAGAAAGTTCACTGATCTATTTCATCTCTTTAAAATAGTTTATTTGTGTATACTAAAATAAATCTTAAATTCCTGATTTTGGCAATTGTATCATCCTAATGATTTTCTTTAAGGACACTACTAGTGACAGGTTTAGGGGGAAGGAATCTGTTTGATTTTTCTAGAAATAACTGTTCATTTGTCCGTTTGATTGGAAACAGGCATGAAACAATAGTGTAAAACCCAAGTTCCAATATTTCTTTTTTCCTTTCAGCAACATGTCCATTTCCTAGTAGACCAAAACCACACCCAAAATGAGAATTTGATCCTTCTGTTGGGTTTAGGGAGGGGTTGGTACTTGGACTCCTCAACACAATAAAATGAGAGTTCACCACTACATTTGTCTTATTTTTATTTTATTTCTAATCATGCTTTGTATGATATGTTTTCTCTTGGCAAAACATGACTTGTTATGTATGAAATACTTATAATTATCTTTGGTACTTCCATCTTTTTTTTAGACTTCTACAATACTTTTACTTTATGATAGTTTGTATACTTGATTAATTCTCACCAATTTGTTTCCCAGATTATTCACAACAAATTATGTCATAACTTCAGTAAAATTATTATCCCTTTTGTAGGTGCCTTGACAAAGCTGCGGTAATTACAGACATTGAGAACAAAAATGGGGACTTCTCCAATCCATGGAGGCTTTGCACCGTAACGCAGGTGGAGGAGCTAAAAATATTAATTCGCATGTTTCCAATTTGGGCTACTGGAATCATCATATGTGCTGTTTATGCACAATTGGGTACATTGTTTGTTGAGCAAGGGATGATGATGGACAGGACCATTGGTTCCTTCTCCATTCCTGCAGCCTCTCTTTCAGCATGTGACATCATAAGCGTTATTTTCTAGGTCCCCGTTTATGATAGGGTCATCGTCCCTATTGCAAGGAAGTTTACTGGCAGAGAGAAAGGCTTTACAGAGTTACAACGTATGGGAATTGGCCTCTTTATTTCAGTACTATGTATGGTATCTGCTGCTTTGGTGGAGATGAAGAGATTGGCACTTGCACAAGCCCTTGGTTTGGTTGATGAAAACGTTCCAATACCACTTAATATCACGTGGCAAATACCCCAATATTTTTTGTTTGGTGCTGCAGAAGTATTTACATTCATAGGGCAGCTCGAGTTCTTTTACGAGCAGTCACCGGATGGCATGCGTAGCTTGTTTGCTGCATTGTCCCTTTTGACGACTTCCATGGGAAGCTACTTGAGCTCTTTTATTCTTACTGTAGTGACATCTATAACAACCGAGGGTGGGAAGGCTGGATGGATACCGGATAACTTGAATGAGGGCCATCTCGATTATTTCTTCTGGCTTGTGGCTGCACTCAGCATAGTAAACTGGGTGGTTTTTGTCTTTTGCGCCACAATGTATAAACCAAAAAAGTTCTCGTAAGTATTTTAAGTGCTGGGAATATGATCAGTGTATGTTTCTGGAATTTCATACTTCCATCCAAGTTCCAAGAAGATGGTTGTAACATAAATGTTGTAGAAAAAGTATTTGTTTGTAATGTAAGTACGATGCATTTACGTTTATAGGCCGTAAAACTTTCATTCTGTCATGATGTAAAATTAATAAAATAATACATGAAATTGTTTGAATCTTTCTGGTTATTTGCATTCACATTTTGTTGGTACACTACAAGAAAAATGGGTTTAAACGGTGTTTTTTTAAATGCCACGTTTATTAATATTTAATGACGTTTTATAAAAACGTTGCATACTCCTTTAATAAAACGGTACCGTTTTGCAATAGGAGGCGTTAAACGCCTCCAAATACGTTGTGCCTCACGCGCCTATTTTAAATCTGAAAATACTTGTTAAAGCTTTGTAAACTCCTATTCTGAATCCTCACGCCGTCACAATCCTCACGCCTCTCTCTTGCTCACCCCCAATTGCTTCTAAACCCTTGAGAGCGATTTTGATTCAGAGCGATTTCGTCAGAGCGATTTCGATTTGAAGCTTTGAAGCTCCACTGTCTCTCTTTCTCTCGATTCATCCTTTGTTCTCTGCGATATCGATCTGAAGCTCTGGGAGATTGCGAAGAGAGAAGAGGGGTTGGTTTTGATCGCAGAGGAAGTGGGAGAGGCTGTGCTTGATTTCTCAGATCGGTCTCAGAGCGATTTCGATTTTGAAGTACTCTCTCTCTCGATTTCGAAGCTTCACCGTGAGGTATTGATTTCTCTCTCTCTCTCTCTCTCTCTCTCTCTCAAGCTCTTCCTTCCCGTCTCTCCCGATTTGGTTATTGAGATCTATTGCTTATTTGTGTTGTGTGTGTGAGTGTATATAAATGTTTGGTTTCTTCGTTTTTTTTTTGCCCCACTATGTCACTGTTTAGCTTACCTGAAATCTTAGTTACATTTTTTCTAGCCGTCTGATATGTAAAGTTTTTATTTACTCAAACTCCTTATTTATCACCTGTAGAAATTTAATGTATAAAGAGAAATAGAGAATTATATTATTGATTGATATCTGTTTGTATACAATGACTCTCCTATATATAGAAGAGAAAAACATATTTACCAACCACACTCAACTCTCACCTAACACACTTACTTCTGGATTAGTTTATACAAGAATCTTTGTGTATGTACTGTTTTGTTAATCCAAAGTTGAATCTATGGTGTGGATTAGATTTGGAATAAAGCTGTAAAGTTTGTAACATTTTGTGCAAAAATCTTGGTGGGTTCTATAGATTAGGATTGCTTAAATTGGATTTGTTTCTTATAATGGAAGTCTGGCACTGTGCTCTAGTATGGGGTTTAGTTATAATTTGTTTGTTTCTCCAATTACATTGGTAGCTTAAGGTCATTTAACAGTAAATTGTAGTCATGTACGTGACTTAGTTAGCTTTCTAACTTAGCTGTTGTTTGATGTGTGGAGTTCTAACATCAACTATAACTCTGATAGGTTTTTTGTAGCCTGACTTGGTTTCATCAACCTCTCTCCTGCTTTCTATTGAATTTGCAATTACGTGCCCAGGTATAAAAATCGGTTCTAGAATTTTGTTAGATATCTACGGGAAATGGGAGATGAGGTAAATTCCAGAGGTTCTGATATTGAAATTTTGTTTCAGGAGTTCTGATATTAAAATTTTGATATTGAAATTTTGTTCCAGAGGTTTTGAAGCTTGGGAACTCCACTCGGATTAATGAGCAGTGCTTGGAGCTTTAAAAGAATATCAAAGATGATGTTTCCAAAATGAAGGTAGGTATGATGGTGGCTGCTTTCCTAAACCTTGTATTCATCTTGTGAAGCATGTTTTCGGGCTAATTTGGCCTGCATTTGCTTTCCTTTCATCGTTAATACCTTAATGATTTCATGGTTTTGGCAATGCAAATTATTGTGTTAACTTGATAGACAATATCACTCCAAAATCGCAATTAAAAGTACAATGATTTCAGAGGTTGCAACAATTAGAACAAGAGATCAATCCTGTTGCTTGCTTATTAACTTTCACATAATTCATCGATTTGGTTAATACTACTAACCTCTGACTCAAATATATTTTTCATATTGGTTGCTAAATGCTAAGCAATGCCTCTATCTCTTTGGTGATTTTTTTATTCTGTTCATTCATAATAGATGATCTAGTTGATAGTATATTGTGATTCTCTTTGGCATCTGAATGGACCAATAGGGATAGTAATAATAGTAGTGTTGTAATGTTTTCATTCATATTAAGAAATTCTCCTTTTAGGTTAAATGCAATAAACTTTCAAACTGAATTGGTAGGGTAGAGTTGAATGATGAAAGATCAATTTTGTCTGTTGAATTTCTATAAGAGATATTAAGAACAACCATTTGCTTACATTCAAGTCTCCATCTCTGTTGAACCGAATGTGTTTTGTAGAGTAGCCATTGAAGGCCTTTCAATGCATTTTTGTTGCTTTCCAGTTCAGTACTATTATTTAATATCAACCAAGTGAGCAATTACATCTATGGAGAAGCTGAGGCATTGACTGATGATATTGAAGAAGAGAGTCAGATTTTTGGGGAGGTCTTGAGGATCAAAAAGATTATTGATAATTGTCAAGATGAGGTTTATCTTCATAACTTCTACTAAATCTCTCTTTTATGTGAATTTAATTTTCATTTCTGTATTTTGTTGCTTTTGATTTTTTTTTTTGGGTAAGAACTTTGACTGATAAATGGGAGATTAAGCAGAAATTCCTTGTTATATTCTGATCCCAGAGTGTGCAACTCATCAATGAACAGAATAACGACCCCTTTGCTTTGCTTAACTTCAACAGCCAGTAAAATGCTTAATACTACTTTCTGAATGAAACTCAAAGCCAGTAATTGAAAGCTGTACATAACAGTGTCATCCAGTTGTCATTGTTTTATATATCATAGTCCACATTTATTATTTCAGAATATTATCAAATGCACATAAATGTAATGATGCACTTTCTAACAATAATGTTTGGCATTCCCTCTCTCTCATGAGAACATTACTGAGGAGGGTACAGCTTCCTAAGAGTTTTTTCACATATATGAATGTTTGGCAAAAACTATCTTTACCTGTGGGATTGAATGTATCTAAGTGATATCGTTACATGCTAGAACCCACCTGCCTGCATTTGTTACCTACCTGCTGCATTGTATAAGTTTCAGCATTAAGTTCCCTCATTTGTGCCGGACATTTCTTAATATTCTTCCTTTTCAAATCGAGTGTAACAGGTCATCAGAGAAGAGAGTGAGTGCAGTTGCCATAAGCAATGATGGTCTATTTGTTTGTTTTGCTGACAAATTTGGAGTTGTTTGGTTTGTGGATTTGGATGGATTTCATGAAAATCAAGCTTTAGCCGGTAACAAGGCAGCGCCAATTCTTGCTCACTACTGTAGCATCATTACTAGCCGGGTATGTCATTTGTTATCTTTGATATCTTTTCTCTTTGTCCTTGCTCTATTGTATTTATGGCCTTTTGTGATGACCTCTAGTATAACAACTCATCTTTTTCCATGTCAGTTATAATGCTAAAACCATATCATAATTATAATGCTTAAAAAACAAAACTTTATGCTTTTTTGATTGGCAAAAACAAAACTTAATTAGATTCTCATTATACGTGCAATACTTGGTTATGTAGATTTGTACTCAAGAGTTGTGGATCAGATGTTTCAGTTTATTGTCCTAGACATTTTTGCTAAGTTTTATTTTTTAGTTTTTATTTTTGGTGAATCATTGGTTATTCCCTCCATTTTCCCATGAATAACAGGAATAAATTGGACATAATAGATTTTATCATTATCTTTTTCCTACAATTTTTCCTGCCAATGTTTTTGAGGTTTATATATATATATATGTATTCTTTCTCTACTCCTATACACATTGTTAAATTCTTATGAGTAATTATATAAAAGTCTTTGAAATTAGGGCTACATTTGTGTGGATGCATGAATGACCTTTACTTGTAAGCTGGGCTTTTTCTAAACAATTTTATGTTCTTGCAGGAATTCTCGCCGGATGGACGATTCATTATTAGTGCTGATCGGGATTTTAAAATTCATGTAATTGATGATTCTTACCCATTGAAACAAATAAATTATTAAATATTAAATTTCATTTCAATTTGTTTTTAGCAATGTTATTTTGTGACAGGTTACCCTGCTTCCAAAGAAGCCTTTAGATGGGGCTCATGAGATACAGAGCTTTTGCCTTGGTCATTCTGAGTGAGTGAGCCCAAATATTTTTTAGGATAGCTGCTGTGTTCCAATCAATAAGACATTTAAACCCCAAACCACCTCCCCTTTTAGGAGCAAAAATATGCTGTGAACTAATCTTAGCATGGCCTTTTAGCTCCGAACCAGTCCATAATTGGCTCTACTACAAAGACAATTCAACAAGGTTAAACTATTGATTAAAAAGAACCAGCTCAATTATCCTAGTTTAATTCCTATCTTAGCAGAAGCTACTTATAAGTTTAAATTTATGTTCTGTACAGAAATGCTTGTTGCAAATACCTAATCAGTTTTCTTTCTTCTATTATTAGTTTAGTAGCAAAAATGACTTCGATCCCGTGTTGCTTATTTTTTTTTTTTTTGCTTTTGCTTTTGCTTTTGTAGATGGAATTGTTTTGAAATGTGTTTTAAAGGTGAATTTTGGCAAAGACTAGACTCAATTATTCAATTGATTGTAAAACATTGCCAGCTTGTTCCTGCTTAATTTTAACACCCCAGGGTATGATTTGTACATTTGAGGTTGTAGATGTGCAAATATCATGAGCTTTCTTGTGACTTCATCTTCACAAATATAATAACTATGTATTCTATTTTTATTTTTATAAATTTTGTTGTCTTTATGGACATGTAGGGTTACTTTAGTTGCAATTTATTAGTAACTCTATTTTTTGATGATAAGAATGACAGACCAATATGAAGAAACATACAACTGATGGAAGAGACTAAACAAAAATAAGAAAACCATGTTACTTTCTGCCAAATGAAGAAACAAAACTCTAGCAACTCTGTTCTAGAAACAAAACAAAGCTACTACTGATGAATTAAAATCAGAAGGACTACTACCATTTCTCTACTCTTGCTGCGTTTGGTATGTGACATGAAGCTTACTACTATTGTTTTGTAGGTCCTAGCTCAAGTCAAGCCACACAAAAGTAGACAAGGGGTCCCACATGAGGATCAGTGGCGGGCTTTGGTCTACTATTAGGGCACTCAAAGTGCATCGGTACAATTTTATTTATGTGAAAAAATGTTTATATATGATAATTTTTTATAACATCTTAAATAAATTTCATATTTGACAGAAATCAAGCAAGAAGAATAGAAAAATCCGGAAGAAGAAGACATTACATCATAGAACAGGCCGAAAGCCTTTCTCAGTAGTTCGACTGGAGGTATAATTATTCTCTCCATTCATCATTTTCATTCTTTGTCAACTATATCTGTCTATATGTGCTAAAAAGGTGTCAACAATTTGCACCATAATGAATTTATACCAGTTCTACAAAAACAGATGTTATTTGCTTAGTTGTTTATTTTATTTACACTTGTTCACATATTTAATTGCTTAATTATTTAATTTTCTTATTTATCTTAAGATTTTGGTTGTCTTTCATTTATAGGAGACCAAAAAGAACAATGGGGTTCCTGCTAGTAGGTCACAGGTGTGGATGGCCGCATACATGAAAGATGGGACGTCAAATAGTGATTCAGTTAATGAGGTTATGGTATGTAATACTACTTTATCTTTGGACTTTTAATATGATTTATATTTATATTGGAGGCTAATTATTGAATTCAAACTTGCAGACTCAAATGAATGAGTTAGCAGAGCGTTATTGATTTCTTTTGGGAAATTACTTATCAGTGGCAAGAAGAAAATTATGTTGGGAGAAAATGGTAGGGCTGAGTTGGTATTATAATAGTTTATAAGAATACCGAATTACAAGCCGCCATCCTTTTTGGTTCAAGACTCTATATTTGTCTACGTTGCATTTTCACGTGATTGTTGGATTGACAGATCATGAAATAGAGAGGAAGATAGTAAATGGGTTACCTTGATTCTCTTGAAATGATTGCTTCTGGCTTTTTGTTCATTAAATGTTACACGTAAGGTTGCCAACTCCTGTTTGACAAATACACACATAATAATTGAAAAATTAGGATTAATTTCCGATAAAACAAATATAGATTTGAGTTCAATTAGATGCTTTGGTTGCTTACCTTGTTCAAATTTATCCTTTGCATGTGTGCATATGTAATAGCAAAGTCCTGTATCTAATCCCTCTCTCCAAACCAAAGAAGATTAAATTGAGAAGTCAAAATCCTCTAGCATAGTTTTTTGGTAGAGTAATTTTTTTATGCCTGAGATTCAACTATAAGCTTGCTAATAAGAGGGGATGGGATGGGCCCTTTACGTAGAGATATGTGGATAAGTTCAAGCCCAGCATAAGGACATTAGGCCCAGCCTTTAGACCCACCAATAAAACAGAAGAAGAAAAAAAAAAAGTTTAAAAGGCAAGAAGAAAATGGTAATAGAGTTTTTTAATGTTGGGAGTGTGCTACAATGCTAGGGCTGAGAGTAGAAAACGACATTGTTTAAACAATGTCGTTGTTGAGTGTAGGGGCAAATGGTTCATTCAACATCAGAAAACTATGAATTGATAGTAAATTTCCTACTCTCCACTCCTACCATAATTCTCAATCTTTTTCCATTTATTTGTAACATAAAATTGCTGTTGTCACTGGGAAGTAATTCCTCCACATAACTTTTCTGAATAGAGATAGGGACAGAGGATCCCAGCCCGTCAGACTTTAAGTCTTGGTGCACGACAAGTTTGGATCCTCTGCCATTCTATCCTGTGGTGCATCCTGTTGTTGTACCAAAACAACATCGTTTTGGCCATATATATATATATATATATTCTTTTTTGTCCAAGCTCTCAAACCCTAAGTACTAACATCACTAGTTTTTAATTTCTCACTTTTCTAAATCTATTAAGACATGATGTGAATTGTGGAAAGAGTTCACACTTGATCTGGTCTACAAGCAGCATGATCTGCAATTTCTCAATAGCGTTTTTATTTTTATTTTTTCTAACATCTGAAACATGCCTTTTAAGTAGTTTAAGATGCAGAACCATGGGAAGTTGAATGAACTGTGAGGGAAAGAAAAGGTGGTAGTACAAAGTTGTGGCCTAGCAATTGGTAGGTAGCATAGTGCTAGAATTGGGCTTGTACACTTGTTTAAATGGGTATTTCAAGCTTCAATGATCTTGTATTCTCTTTCCTATTTTTTTATGGGTTTTGTAGCCTCTTGCTTGGATTCAAGCTCTCTTGTGTGAAATTGATCATACGTTGAAGAAATTGTTGGCAATTTTTGCAATTTTTTTAGAAAGAATGGTGTTTGCCGAATTGGAGAGCATCAGATGGTGCCATCATAGACCTGTTCAACATTGGCCCAGACTTTTGGTTGGATTCAAATTTGAATTTGTATGTGATGGCAAATCTCAATTTGATAAGGTTATACACATTCTAAAAGAAAAAACATGTTAAAGACCCTTCAGAAGTCTTGCCTAATTTGATGAGTGGGAGCTAGATCAAATGGCCTCTAAATTTGTTTATGCTATGAGAGCATTATTTATTTAATTTTACATGATTCTCATATGTGTCTGTATTGTCTTTGGATATGCCCTTTTCTTTATATGTATTTAGTGCTTCTTGGTATGTGATAAAATCTTCTTGTTAGTGCTTCTTCAAGTTTTAAGTACTGTTTATAAGTATTTGGTACAAATTCTTCAATTTGTATTTATTTTGGTGAATCTGATGCAGTTTATGTTCTGATGCAGGCATGTTGACCAGTGAAGACTACAACTTTAATACTAAGACATGATTTTTGGATATATGTTAGTTTGTGGTTAATGTTAAAACTTGATTTTTGGATTTTGGATATGTTAATTTTGTGGGTAATGGTGATTGGATATTAATTGAATGAGAAAGTGAATTAATACTTCATTACAGCTATTTGAATGGGAGTTATTATTTTTATATTAGTGCTATTACAAGTATTTTTTTAGTTCAATCAAATAAAATTAGCACAATTTCAAGAAAAAAAAAAAGAAAAAAAAGAGGATATGACGGCGTTTTTCCAAAACGTCGCTAAATATCGTCAGTGACGTCAGCGTGTGTTTAGTAGGATATTTGGCGGCGTTTTTAAAAACACTGCCTATACTAATATCACGACATTTTTAAAACGCCACAAAACTATAGCGACGGCCGCGTCCTCGGCGTTTGGTGCTAAGCGTCGCAAAAAGAATTGGCGGCATTTTTGGCACTTGTAGCGGCGTTTTTTAAACGCCACTAAAAATCTATTTTCCAGCAGTGGTACAGGAAGAAAACAAAGTGGCTTATATTGCCCAGATTATGTTTTTTGATCTGTCCCCAGTGTCAAGTGTGGAAATTCAAGACTTTGAAGGCTCGTTCGAGTGGAGTCCTTAGGCTGCTCAAGCGGAGCTTCTTAGCCACTCGAGTAGAACTCAGGGAAGACCGCTGGATCATTCTGCTTGGGCAAAGACAGTGGCACCTGAGAGTGAAAATTAGTGTTTTGTCTAGATTTGAACTTTCTGCACTATTTTCTTCTTGTTTTAGGATTTGGTCTTTCAGCACTATGTCATACATATGTACTTCATAGTATCTCTATTAGATAGAGTTTTGTGATCATATTGAGAGAGATACATTAGTAAGAGATTATTAGAGAGAGTTTGTGAATTTGATTATTTGAATATGAGACTTGTTATAACCCCTTTTATTCTAATCTTAGTGAAATCGTAATGATTTTGTTGACATAGCCCCTGAATCCCGTAAAATCTCTTACAATGCTTGTTCGAGCATTTGGTTTTCTTCTCCTTTTTTAGACCTGTTGTGTTTGCATGATTGTTTACTCAACTTCAGTGCTTAGTATTATTTATATGTATACCATAGCACCTAGCACTATTTTTATTTATTTTTTCATTATGATAGACTTGCCAAGAAAACTTTAGGCTGTATTTGATTCAAAGATTTTGAAAGGGATTTGGAAAGGAAAAATGACTTTTTAAAATTCTTCTCCAAATTCTTGAACCAAACACAACGTTAGTGTCAATTGCTATCAGGTGAGTGAGCAAATATTGAATATAATGGCTATATTATATGGTTGTATCATCATTTAATGAGCAATTTTAATTTATGATAATGATTGTGGGAGACAATGATTGTCCACTTAATCTATTTGTAACTTTTTATTGACCAATAACACTACGTAAGATGATATCATTATAATTTTATTGGCTAGTAATATCACGTAAGACGAATGATATCGTCATTACACTCAATATATTTTTGGATGGTATCATCAACTTTTTATACATAGGATGATATTATGTTACACTCAATATATATGTTTCTAAGTGAGGAAATGGGAAATCAATAGCAAAAACTGTCCTAAAACAACCACCACTTCATTAACAAGGGGTTTTACAAACCTCTCTTCCTTTCGATCAATCAAATGTCTCAAAACCAAAGGAATTCATTCCTCGTCATTTTTTTTCAAAATTTTGAAAGTCATGATCAATGCCATATACAAGTGGCACAAAAAAGTACTCATAAACGGCAGTGGTATTATTCTCATTCAAAGTTTCCAACTCATCCAATTCCTCGGTTACAACTGTAGACACCCCTTTTTTGACCGTCCTCAAGACTTGGGCGTCACCGTTTGAACACTCGGTGATCATCCTTGTTTGTGTTCGTCTTGAGTTCCCGGAGGTCTCGGCTACGCGCCTTGCTTCAGGACCTCTCGACTCGACTGTTTTGTGTTTGGTTTTGCACCAAACACTTGTGTTTTTGCTTTGGAGGATAGGGAATGGCTTATTGGCCATCCCCACACTCCACCGGCCGTGGCTTGAGGCCACCGGCTATGTTTTGTTTCCATCGGCCAAATATTTGGCCGGCCGGCACTATAGATGGTCGACCGGCCATCTATTTTGGCCAAATTGCATTTTTGACTGGCCGACCACTGTTCACCTGCTTTTGCAGATATTTTTGTGCCAGCTGTGATAGCTGGCACCCACCTTTGCTCCCCTCCATACATGTGTGTGGAGGGATTACAACCTTGTTAGCTTGCCTTGGAAGCTTTACAAGGTTGAATCTTCCATAAGAGGAGGCCTCTTCTCCCTCTTTTAGGTTAGACAACATTTTTCAGAGGGCTCTAGTTTTAGGGTTTGAGTTGTGTATCTATCCTATGCCTATATCTCCCTCTCTCTTGTGTTTTGTGTGTGTTTTATCTTACTTTTGTGCACAAACACCCACCATTACACCTTCCTTTAGCTACTGAGGTACTAAGAGGCTGTTCTTGAAGTTTTGGAGCTGGTTTGAGCCAAAGAAGCTACTGGTCCATCATTCTTGAAGAGGGTCAACAAGGGTAAGAACTTATCCCTTTTATTCCCCATTTTTGCATAGCTCTTTAGTCTGCCTTGAAACTGTTTTTAGGCTTGGTGTATAACATATAAAAGTTTTGTTTTTGCCTACTCTAAATAGTTGGTTAAGAGTATTTTGAGCCTTAAGGTTGTTTGACCCCTCTTAGGGCTTATTTGACCCCTTTTTTGTGCCATTTTGGTGAGCTCCGGGACCATTGTGTTTGGGCCTCCTCACCACTGAAATCTTGAGGGATTTCAGTGGTAAGGATGGTGCCTTGAGGTCCTAAGAAGGAGAGGGCCACCCCATCTCCTTGTTGTCCTTGAAAAGGGCCATTTTAGCCTCTTGTGTGAGCATCTAGTTTAGGTCCATGTTGATCATGCCTTAA